TTAGGTCGTGAGCCACACATCTCGGGAGCAGGGGTTCTGGAAGTAGAAACGGAAGATGCTCGGATCTGCTCATTTGTCGAGGATCGGGCTGGCTGTCTCAGTTTGCACGGAGCGAAATGAAGTGAGAAGAATGCGTTGCTGGAACTGCTGCACTTCGGACGCAATGGCCTTGGCGACTCAGGGTATTGCCGCCTGATAGATAGAACATAGAATCGATTTTAAGAGCTCATTACATCCGAAGGTTTGAAATCACCTGAGGTCAGACCAAACTGGCCTGAGAAGGAGGCGAAGCCCCAGCCCACCGTAGAGCTGAATTCTGCAAGCTGCTGACAAGCGGCTTGCGTGGAGGATTCTTATCGTGGGACCGGTGCAGGCACAAGAAGCAAGTTCCTGGCCGTGCTTCATCGGTAAAGACAACAGACGTTTCACAGCTCCGACTTAAAGTGTTTATAGCTTCAGGGTTGAAATGCAAGAGCCAGCCCGATGTCTGGCCAGCGGCACCCGGAGCAAGCTCCGTGAACAGCACTGCTCAGTTCAAAAAAGTCGCATGCATGGGCTCACGCATGCTCCGTGAGTCCGAGGCACAAACAAAGGAGCCTGAAATGAACACTTTGAGGCTTTGGAAGTTCTGAAGCCCAGCATCACCGTGCGCACAACTCATGTTTTTGCCGAGCCTCTGATCTGACGACCAAAGGCCTCGCTGCCACTGCATTGTCTCAGGAACCCTGCGACTTGCGTGAGAGCCTTGGCACGTCAAATGCCTTTGGCCTAATTTGACAGATGCTGAAGCCGGTCGGACGCAGTGGGCGTAGAGGAGTACGGTGAATCTAGTGCGTCGTTCTCCCTACCGAGGATGACAGAGCCAGCATTGCATGTGGACAACAAGCGGTCAAGCATCGCATCTGCACAGGATGTCGTGCCTCGTGTCCTGCTCAGAAAAGCTTCTCCTCTCGCCTTGCTCAACATGTTGCAAGCCTGGCCTTCTTTCCAGATCCTGCTTCGGGACTCGGATTTTAGAATCGCACATATACATAGATATACATGTATGTATGTATGTATGTATGTATGTATGTATGTATATATATATAAATATTACACACACACACATATATATATATATGTACATGTATATGTGTGAAGGTGCTGAAATGCTTCAAGCTCCACAGCTCCGACACTGGACACTCGATGAAGTTTCTGCCCTGTCCTGCCCGCTGAGAAGCTGTTGTCGCCGCGTAGTCTTTGCCGCGGTTGCATCCGAAAGCAAGGGGAATGACCTCTCGTGTGATTTGCGATTCTTGCTGTTGCTGTTGCATTTGGGTCTCTCCTGTTGCCATCCTTCCATTGGATTACTCTTCATCTGGGGTATGCAGTTATGCAACACTGTGACGAACGTACGATGCTTGTGGCAGCGGCAGCAGCAGCCGCAAAACGAGGAGAAAACAGTTTCATATGTTGTTGGTCGCAATGCAAAACCGTATGATAGCAAGTCGCCTACAATCGTGGTGCCATTGTTGCTGGGGGTGGTGATGAGGTGCTGGTAGCAACAGCAACTGCAGGGAGGTGCTAAGTGTGGCACAGAAGAAACAGCAGTCGTCGTCGTCGTTGTTGTTGCGGCCCAGAAGTAGCAAACAGGGGCACAATGGCACTATGATCGCAGTAATGCTTGTATTGTTTGCCGTTCTGTCATCGTCGAGACAACGGGAGGTGCCAGCTGCAGCTGCGTGCGATTGCCCCTGAGAACTTAGAAGAAAAGACAGCCATGGGCTTGGAGGAAGGGTTGGCAGATCGCACACCTTGGCGTGGTTTGATATTGTAGATATTGTACCATATATACCACACAGACCATACCACAGCTTCCAGCATGAGACGTGCAAAGAATCCCATCCGAAAGATCGAAGACTCTCAAATCAGGGCACACCTGCTCCGTCTCAGTGCACACCATTAATTTCGTACGAGGGGCTAACTTGGCAACGCAATACGCGGTCGTCGCTATGCTTTAGGATGTAAGCTTGCTTGCGCAGCCAAGCTCCTCGGTAGCAGCCGCTGGCATGGAATTTCTTGAAGCGAAGTAAACGACCGATCCAGACGGTCTTTGCACTTCTCGACGGAGAGTTTTGGACCGATCTGGTGACAGTATGAAAGTCGTATGACACGAACTCCTCTTAACGTCTTAACATGACATGAGGGCATAGATAGACCATGCAGCACAACATCTTGCCAAGACTACAAGATGAAGAGATCTGCAGACATACCATGGCAGAACCACTATCAAACACTCACAACCTCTCTGCACCAGCACCAACCGCAAGAACAATGAAGGGATGTAGTGGTATCGCGTGCTTCGCGGATGCAAAACTTTGATGAGGATGGGTCGGCCAGGATTAAGCTTCAGATTGGGGATCCGATTGATTCCGACCACTGCGCATGGTGCATTGCAAGGCGCGGAAGACCGCAAGCATTCAGCGGATGCAGAAAGGTTAGGAATGGTTAGGACGGTTAGGATTTACGAAAGGTTGTGTTTTCGACCCTCTAAGGGTTGAGGGTTTAGGGCCTTATAAGGGCTCATCTCTTCCAGAGCGCCCTGTTTTCCATCAAGCCGGGCACAGGGTCATGGCTTTGTGAAGCGTGACTGAACACCGACTGCTAGCAGAAGCTCCCACTCCTCACGAGGGTGTCAGTCGTGCACGGGCATGCGCTGGTCCGGATACTTCTCTGCATCTTTCGCGGTGAAGTCTCTGTTCCTCTATTCGGCGTTCCGCCAGGTCGGCGCGAAGCAGCGACCAGGCGAAAGAAGTGCCGCCTCCCTCTGTTCGGAATTGGCCGAGCACAAGACGCAAACGTGCCGCTCCGACATCCTCATGTAGTCACCGTCTTGGCGCCACACCTCGGCCCATGGATACTGTGCTTTACAGGCATGACAGACTGACTCTGTCATAACCAAACACAAGGCCCTGCACTGCTTACAAGTGTAATTATACAACCCTTTCACACCACTGACGCGCATCCAAGTGCGACCAGGCCACCAGTCTTCAAGGCGAAGTTATGTGAGTCCTTTGCACTGGTGGGATTGTGTCAGTGACGCGGCAAACACTCGCCAGGGTCTGAGAGACACACACTTTCTGCAATTCCTCGGGCCCCACACTAACGGGTTTAGGCTTGGTTTCTTTTGGAGTTTCGAAACCTGCTGTGCTTTTTTGCGTCTAGCAGCTGTAACCATTTTCGTGGCAAATTGCCATGCACGTGCTCCTGCAACTGACTTGACTCCAGAGGGATGTCGCAGAGTGGGTGCATTTGCATGTCAATGGTTGTCACTGCCCAACGGTTTGAACCACTTAGCGCCTTCGCTGTTCTCATTGCTGCAACAACGAGGAGTTCATGAAAACTTTTTGCCATGTTGAAAACACAGCGGTCCTTCTGCAAGGAATCGATGTTCGAGGGCCCAAAGATGTTGCAGAGTCGTCCTTTGTGATTGGTTGACGTCTTTGATCCCATCACCTCGGTAAGAATCGCAAACCTGATTCTCCCCGTCTAAACCCCAAGCTCCCGGAAAGAATGTGACATCGCAGGAGGTTTATCAGCTCTTGGAGTTGCGGGCCCCTGACGAAAAACTAGCTCTTAAATTCAAGCTTTCAAGTTTCATATGTTCAGCCCTGCCGGCACATATATCAGTAAGGCACCTACCTGGCTATGAGAGTGGCCCCCCCACCTAAGCAAAGAAACACCGATCTCCACGTGTGGCCGACGGCCATTTAGGTGTTCTAGCAACAGCTTTAAAATGTCAACCATGTCGCATTACTCAAACTGTCGGCCTGGGCAGCTTGTTGAAGATTACGCAGGTATGCAGCAGTTCGGATGATTGAAGCCTTTTCCGTTTCTTGAAGATCTTCGAGCAGCATGCCGAATCCATCGTCCGCTCCACATTGCAGATAGTCGAAAAGGCAGACATTGGGCTCAGTTGGCAACCGCTGAACGCGACTGTGCACCACGTTTCTTCCGCGATTTTGCGGCCTCTGGGTACCCACCTAGATTGCGAAGCTTGCCGGGAAGCTCGCGAAGAAGGCGCTCCATCTCGGGTGAAGCACACAAATCCACGAGGTCGTGATCGACACCAGGAAGTCTTCGGTATACCCACACCATGAAGTCCAGGTTCGCCGCCACGTTCCCTTCCCGTGTCCAGAACTTTTGCGTCGCGACGCCTCGTGCTTCCAGGTGGAGGTGCGTGAACCCGCCAGATCGCAAAGCATCCAGAACTCCTGCAAAGGCCAGAGGGCCAGCGCCGAAGTGTCGGCTTCGACCGGCAGAGAATTCAAAAATGAGTAGTCGGGTGTTCTTCCATTGCCTAGGCTTGGACAACAGCTGAATCTCGGATCCTTCGACATCCACTTTGACTATCGTGTGGTTGTTCGTCAAAGCTTCATCAAGCGAGACTGCTGGCACAAGACGAACCGCCGTAGGCTTTCGTCGGAGCATCTGGCAGTTGCTCGCTGACGATTTCCAGCTTCCCGTCTGCGATCCTTCGAAGTCTGCAAACGATAGGCATGGCTGCAAGTTCTGTTCCTGGAGCCAGTTGGTGAAGGACGTGTCGGCAGGCTTTTTCTTGCGATGTCCTTTGGAGTCCCGCCACGTTGTGGCCGATGTCTGCGTGAATACCGTGTTGTCGTCCTGCAGAAGGTCTGGTCCGAAAAATGTCCTGAGAGGTGTCTTGAACTCTGTGCCTTCCCAAAACCCGAATCCCGACAATCCGATCACGAAATCACTCGAAAATCACTCCCTCACTTACTCACTCACTCGCTCGCTCACCCACTCCCTCACCCCTCACTCCCTCACTCACTCACTCACGCCCGCCCTTCCTCCTCCCTCCCTCCCTCCCGCCCCCGCCCGCGCACCCACCCACCCACCCACCCACCCCCACTCACA